CCAGGAGGCACCATGTGAGCCTCATCTCTGCTTAAAAACCAGGATGCCCGCCCTGCCATGAAGGTTGGCAACTCCAGAGGAGCACTGCCCATGACTCTACAATCTTCCCAATGCCACTCTGGGCACTTTTAGGAGTCCCCAGCACACTGGCCCAGGGCTGCTTCAGTTTCTAGGCCGACAGTAACATGAGGGCTGCTGGCAATAGCTGCCCCAGAGAGGGCTCTTGGTGAGCTCCCAAATGAAACTTGATTGGTAAGATGTCTTGGAGAGAATGGCAGAGTGAGGTGAAACACCATATTCCAGGCAGAAGTCTGAAAGTGTGGGCTACTGGTTCCTGAGCCATAAGACACGAGGGACCACCAGCTATATTTATCCTATCCTAACATGGGACACAGAGCGGTGAATAAGGCCCTGGTATTTACCAAGCCATCTGCTGAAAAGTGAAGCTGGCTATCAGGCAGTTCCCTTAGATTTAATAAACCCAAAAAGCTGTGCAGCATTTTCGTATCATTTGAGCCTCATGTAGACAGTTTTTGAGTCACATACCCTCAGCTCACCTCTGGGCAGTTCCATACTTCTGCCGCATGTCTCCCCACCTTTCTGCTCTAGAACTTTTTCTAAATCTGTAGAGCCCTCTATTCCTGGATATTCGGGGAAGTTAATGCCTCGGGGAATGTGGCAAGTCATCTTTTCCAAAACTGGCTGCAACCACATCTCTCATTTCATGTGCGCTTTTAACAATGTGATATTGACATGCCTCCCACGGGAGAGGTGGGTCTATGCTCTCCCACCTTGAACCTGGGAGGGCCTGTGGCCAGGGTGGAAATGACAATGTGTGATTCTGAGGCAAAGCCATCAAAGGTAACACAGCTTCCATTTGGTTCTCTTGGGATGCTTGCACTTAGAATCCAGCTGCCATGCTTCGAGGAAGCCCACATAGACCACATGGAGAAGCCACCTGTAAGAGTTCTGGCCAGCTGGTCCCAGGCAACAGACGGCCTCAACAGCCAGACATGTGAGTGAATGAGCCTTCAGATAACTTCAGAACCCACTTGTTGAGTCACCCCAGCCTGTAAGTCTTCCTAGCTGAGGCTCAGCCATCATGGAACAAAGACAAGCCTCCCCTGCTGTGTCTTTTCTAAATTCCTAATCAACAGAATCATGAACATAATAAAACAGAGGTGGTTCTACCCCACTGGTCTGGAATGCTTTCTTACACGGGAATAGAAACTACAGCAAGGAGCGGACAGTGAAGGGCAGCAGCCTTTGGATAAATGCTGCAGCCTCCTATTCTCTGGGCAGATGATTTGGGAGGCATTCTGTAAGCTCCTCAAAGGAGCTCCTAGTGGGGTCAGGGGCCCATTGCCTAAAGCAGCTCCCTTGATTCCACTCTCTTCATTGGATTTCCTTCCTCCCTGTCTCATTCCTGCTCCCTCAACCCTCCTTCCTGGGATCACCTTCCACACGAACTATCTACACCAAAGTCCTTGTCTAAGGCTCTTCTTTCTGAAGAATCCAACTAAAACTGGCCTTTTGTCTACGCTGCAAAGCAAGCATTTTTGCTCCCACTCCCATTTTGTAGATGAGGAGACTGAGACATGGAAAGGTAAAAATGACTTGCTCAAGGCCACACAGTGAGTATGGGAGGCAGGGTCAAGATAAGAACCTAGGCCTTCTGACTTGAAATCAGCTTAAAACTTGTGCGTGAGGGCAGGCAGGCAGGAACAGTCCTCCCAAGCTTTGCTCTCAGAGGCATGGTGGTTGGAAGAATGCCTTGTGATTTACTGCCAGTTGAACCCTTAGCTCTATTAACAGTATCAGAAGAAAAACAATTGGCAGAGCTATGGATGACCAGGCAGAGAATATCCCCCCGAAGCCCCAGGCCCCTCACCAGCCCCAGGCCAGCAGGGCTTCATAGACTAACTCCCACTCCCCAGTCATGTGATTTAAAAGTCATCCCTTTTACAGCATCAAATAGATTGTCTATTAGTAAATTTAAATTTTCCAGCTTAAAATCTGCCTTAAGGTCAGCATGAATATATTGTTTCCATCAGTTTCTAGAAAATCTGTTTATAAAAAGTATCTAACTGTATTTCACCACTGTTCTAAGTACTTTATCAGGAATCATCCCCATTTACAAATGAGGAAGCTAATGCCCAGAGAAATGAAGTGATTTACCCAAGGATACATAGCTTGTAAGTGGCAGAGTAAATGGTAAAAATGGTATTAAAAATTGCAAAAGTAGTGAAATGATAAAATTAGAAATGGCAAAATTACCAGTTTGTTCAGCTTCTGAGAGGTTGGGCTAGAACCAAAGACTCATAGAACACTGGATAGGAAGCAGCCAGCGGGCTCACACTGAAGTGCCTGCAAGGTATGAAGTAGGCCCACAGCAAGACGGTTGATGTGGACCAAGAGCACAAGCTCTCTGGACATGTCACTTTGCAATTCTAACAAGGCAGACATTTTCATTCTGCAGGTAAGGAACTGGGGCCCAGAGAGGAGGGGAATCGTCCAGGTAACACAGCTCCTGAGAAGTCAGGAACAGATTCAAGATCCTCCCCTCTGCATTCTGAGTCCACAGTAGGATGGAGACCCACACCAAGAAGGGAGAGTGGGAGGTGTTTTAGTTTTGCAGCCCTGAGACAGGTCCTAAAAGGAGAGCTTCTGGCCAGAAGAGTCAGGGAGTTAGGATTTCACTGAGATAGAATGGGAGGCTGCCCCTAAAGGTTTGCGTTAAATATGCAACCAAGAAGTGCAGTGTCCCCCCTAGCCAAGAGGCAAGTCCTTTCTCTGAAACTTCAGTACACTGATGAACTGCTTGCTGGCCTTCCAGACCTAGCTGTTCTCCAGGTCAGGCAACTTCGGAGAGGATGGGCTGACTGAGATGTTACCTTTTCCCCCAGATTGTCCTTATTATCGCCCTCTTCTGGCCACTCTTAGCATCAATGTAGCCCAGGGAGAGGCCAATGGGTTGGGAGATTTCAAGGAGTCTGAGGAGGGTGCCTGAAGTTGGCTGAAGCTACACTGGCCAGATTCTCTGCCTTCCAGCCCTACCTGCACATCCCACCCTGTCTGTGAAGAATCACAGAATATGCATGCCCCTGGTTATCTTGTATTTTCTCTAAAATTACTGGGGAAAATGAGGCTGTAACAGGCAAGCCTGCCTCAGGGTTATCCTCCAAGGCTGAGACCAGGAGCTGGGATGTCTTTCACATCTGGATTCACAGTGCCCAGACCAGCATCCAGCATACTGGAGATGCACAATACATGCCTGAGCAAATCAATTACTTCCCCACTCCAGCTGCCCACACTGCTTCCCAGAGGCCCCAGCTCACACCCAGCAGGGTCTAGGGTCTGACAAGTGTGGGCCGTGGTCCAGCCACTCCCTTTATCCCGCATCTATTTTCCCAGCTTCAGTGGCCCTCTTTTCAGGCCAGGCTGCCATTCCACCAGTGCTCTGGAGCCTCTTCTCCCTGGCCTTGAATTAGGTCCCATGAGGAACTCATGGTACCTGGGCCAGGCATGCTACCTGCTGAGGTTTTCTCCAGTTGTCCAGGAACCAACTCCTCTGCCCACCTTGCTAACTCAGAAGCCCCATGAGGTACAGCAGTAGGTGGATATTCTGCAGGAAACTTCCCTTACTAAGATCAGGCCCCTCAAGACTAGTTTGATCTTAAACCTTCACAAGATTCTCAAGTCTCACAAACTCCTCCTGCCTCCTAGTAACCTGGTCTTCCCCAGACTCTCCCAACCCCCAGCCTAGACCCGAGCCACTGCAGTGATAGTAACAATAAAAAATAACGACAATGCCATCATTTCACTTGCAGAGAATTTTCCCATAAATCACCTGAGTCCTCCTATAATTACTGCCACCAGTTTAGAGATGAGGAACCTGGAACTGATAGAGGTTTCCAGGGCTTGAAGGGGCGATCACCGGCCCACAGGCCCCACATAGACCTGGCCAGCGACAGCCCCGGGAAGGAGCACCTGCCCCTCCGAGGGTGGAGGTCGCACTCTTCCCTCCCCATTCTTCTCTGCCGACCGCCAAGGGAAACGGGGCCGCACAAAGCCAAAGATAAACACCACTACCCGCGGGCCACTGGCCATGGGCCAGGAGCGTCTGTGCGAGCCTCTGAGCCCAGCCTCTCCCTGGGAGCGTGAGCACCCCTCTGTCAGTGCTGCAACTGCCCCACACTCATCAGCTTGCTGGAACATACGCTCGGGGCCCTTCGGAGGCTAAGGCTTCAACGACTCCAGCTCGGAAGCCGCTCCCCTCTGGACTCACGAGCCAGTCGGTGGCCCCGGGGAAGCGGGAGCTGCAGCACCCGGGCGGCGACTGCGCCCGAAAGGCCCGTACGTCCCGGGCGCCGCTTCCTGGCGGGATTAGAGCACCTGCCGGCTTCCATCTCCACCCGCCCAGGGCGACCCTCAGGCCGGGACCGCTACAGGGAAGTTTTGCTCATACTTCCTCGGCGACCCCTTTCTTTTTGCCCGCTGTGACGCTTTTCTTTTTAAAATCTCTTCACAAGAGTAACCACTGATCTTAGGAAACTTTGTGCGAAACTTACAAATGCTGTGAAATCGGAGCCAGGAACTCCATCTGAGCCTGGGAGCGCCGCGCCCAGCCCGGCTCTTCTGCTACGGCCCGGAGTGTCCGGCGGTGGCCAGTGCTGCCCACTTCCTGCCAGGCGGCCCTGGCACCCGCCCTGGCCCCTGAGCGCCCTCTCGGCCTCGGGCACCCGCCCTGATTAGCTTTGGGAACGCGCCGGCTGCCGACCCCCCGGTGCGCACCGCAAACCTGGGGCCGGGACGTCCCAGCCTTGGAGTGGTTTTTAAGCAATTCCTCGCAGGCATTGTCTTCCCGGGGAGCCAGGGATCTCAGGGGAGGGAAGAGGAGACCCGCCTCACACACGGTAGCGCAGGCTTGCCCACCACCTCATTTGCATTTCAAAGGCAAACTTCTGCGGGACTTCCCCGGCGGCGGCGGCGGCACCTACCGGCTTTGCAAGGGTCGTGGTAATGCTCCAGCTGCTGCTCCGTGCCCTCCTCGCCGTCCAGCGCCGAGTAGTCTGCGGTGGCGTCCGGGCGCTCCCCGAGTCCCCCGTCGCCGCGAGGCAGCGGCAGCAGTAGCAGCAGTGACACTAGGGCCCCAAGTGCAGTTGCCCGGGGCATGGTGGCGCGGGGCCGGCAGGGGCAGAGGTAGTTGCGTGCACGAAAGCTCAGCTCGGCCGAAAGACGGTGCACACTAGGTCGGTCGGCTGCGGCCGGGACTCTGTCGTTACACAGGGCTGCCGGGCATGGCTTGGGCGCGGAGCAAGTGGAGCGCGGCGCCCCCTGTCTTCGTCGAGGCAACCGGGAAGCAGCCGCTCGGAGCTACTTGCCCGGCGGCCGAGGCTGCGGCGGTTGCGACTGTGGCAGTGGCGGCGGTGGTTGGAGCAGTGGCCGCTCCGCCCCTCTCCACCAGGGCTGGACGACACAGCCTTCGCCAGGGGCCCTGGGCAGCCAATCACTCGGGCGCCCGAGGCGAGGCCCCTCCTCTTCCCGGCACCTCCGCAACTTCGGAGGAAGGCGAGCGAGGTGAAGATGCTGAAGCCAAGGGCCGGGGGCCAGCTCCGCGCCCACCCAGCCGAAGGCGCCTGCCCAGGGCGCCACCTCGGCCTCTGGCTCCCAAAAATGCCGTTTCTGAAGATCGAAGCTGGGCTTCCCGCCTTGTTTTATTTCCATAACTCACTTTACAACTCCCCGATGCACACGTGGCCAGACGCAGCAACAGTGGTTAGAATTCCGAGCGCTGGACCAGGAGCCCTGTGTACACGATTCATGTCACTACCAACGGGCTATGTGCATTCGGGCAGCTGCTTCTCTGCAGGGATGAGTGAATGTCTCTGAGGTCCCTTTCAGCAAAGAAAAAAAAATCGAGGATTTCGATTCTCTCAGCTCTCTCCATATTCCCCAGTCCAGCCATGAAGGGCGCTTGCTGGCGGCACCCACCTAACCTAACCTAGAGACTGGCGATAGATAGGAAGAAAGATTTAAGTCCACAGATTTCCCCTCTCGGTGATCCTATCTTTCAGTAAAACAGTCTAAGATGCTTCATACAGTCAAAAAGACACAAATGAACAGCTGTATGTGCTATTTGTGTTAAATTACAGACATGTTTTTATTAACCACTCACTGTTCACTTGATGGAATAAAAATGACCAATTTCTGAAGTCTTTTTTTTTTTTTTGCCAATTAAAAACATATGCCCAAATAATTTAGGAGACTAATCAAGAGATATTTGAAACCCACTTATATTTTGTACCTTAAATGTAAAAATTGTCAGAACTGAGCCATTTTGATTTAGAGATATAAAAAGTATTACTGTGAGGCTTTTCAAAGATCTTTTTACACAAGTAAAATGGCCTTGTCAAGTATAACACACAAATGTGTATGTGTAGACATGTTTTGCATCATGCCCAGTAGAAACTTTTTCCAATTTAAACTGCAAGCAGAAAAATGGACAACTTTCCTTTTGGATTTCCACATGGTTTCACATACATCAATGACAAAATAGTCAACAGGGAGCCCAGAGCTGGGCTTCACATCAAACTCTGAATTTCTTGCACTTATGGTCATCTGTCTTCTCATCTATCAACTAGGATAACAAGTCCTTCACACAAGTAAAGGGTTAAAAGTTAACTACTGGAAGGATGCTACTCATATTTTGTCCTCGTTCTTAGAAATGCAATGTTGACCCTGCCTCATGCTGTTTTCATCAAATGGGCACATAACATACAGAATGGAGCCAGACAGGGCAAGATCTGGTTAGAAACTGGCAGGTGGGAGGAAGGAATCTGAAGGGGATAAATGCCACCAAATGGCAGAGAAGGCCAAGTGGCCACTGCATAGGCAAAGGAGTGAGAGGAGGTCGAATGGCATGCATTTCTGCCTGAATACCAGGAGTCAAACCCAACGCCATAGCTCTCTGCATTCACCCCTATGAAGGTCACCACCTTTGGGTAGACAAGTCCAAAGAGTCAACATCTAAAAGGCCTAACAAACTTCTGTGACACTTCCAGGTCTCCAGATGGCACTAGGCAAACCACCAACTGGCTTCCTCATTAGAAGGGAATTCCTCTGGAAAATAGACATGAGAGGCCACCTCTTGTGCAATGAGGTTGTGAGCTTTTATGACCTCCAATTCCCACCTGGTGAGTAGTGGCCAGGTCTTCTCACCAACACCCTTTGTCCAAATATTTTGAAGAAAGTGGTGTCGAAGAATGAGCAAGCTGCAGTTTTATGTTATTAAAGTAGAAGGCCAGTTTAGTTGCTACTTTGGCTATCAACCAATAAATGGCAACAAAATATTTGGTTCACTAGAAAGATTAGAAAGGAATGATTGAAAAGGGACACCATAAGATAGAACTATACAAGCTAAACTGTAATATGGGTTAGATGATTTTTTTTAAATGTATTTTTTAATTTAAAAACCAAGAAAAAACTGGAGGTAGATTTAGAATAACAGGCTTTATGACATAAAACTGCTCAACTTAGCTCCATTATTACGTTCCTAATTACTTCAGGGTTTCCTCTGCCGTATCTTTGGGTCATCTGTGAACCTGAACAAGTGTTTTTCTCCTCTCAGATGTCCATCTCCCACCCAACTCATTCCATCTATACCCCTATGCCCAAAGTAACTGGGTTCCTTGCCCCTTCAAATCTACTGAGTTTTATCCACCTGGGCCACTTTCTCATTTTGCCTTTCCAGGCCACTATACATGATAATTTGTTCCAGTGCAGGCAGCAGAACCTCCAAAATAGAGGGCAGTCTCATCATGCCAGCTCATTCCTTCATTTACATTGCTGACCACTGAGAAGATACTGAGTTTTTTGGAGAATGTAATTTAGCAGCTGCTTAAAACCCTTCCTGGCTCTCCAAAACCTTTATCCAAGCTCCTCAGGGTGGCATACGAGGTCCTCCATCCACCACCAAGCCTTCCTTTTACCTTTCCAGTCTTGGCTCCTTACAACTCCCACATTCCAGTTTTCTGGCATTAAACACCCTGCAGTCATCCTAACATGGCCTCAATGCTTCACACCCTCCATGTCTGCCTGGGACACCTTGATAACCACATATCCCACATCCTCATGCCAGCATCGCAGCTACCCTATCTGTGACACTTACCTACCCAGGACTGCCCTACCTTTCTGGTCTATAATTGCAGCAGACCTCTCTGACCAACTTCAGCTTAGAATCACCTTCCACGTCTCACTCTCTAGACTCTCCCTTTTCTTCACTGACCTTCAAGATGAAGTCCTGTAATCCTAGTGGCTTAGACTGAGACAATAAGAATAACCATAACATTGGCCAGCCCCACTTATATCAATTTTCCCCTGCAACCATCTCCTGCATTTTTTCCCTTTGAAATGGCTGTGAAAGTAATCATGCAAACTTTGAAAATCATTTTAAATAATCAAGTAATTTAAAATACATTTGTAAACTACACTGATTCCACATGTCCCAATTAGGCTTATTCCCCCCCCTTTCTGTTACATTGCACAGTAACAGTTTCACAAAAATAGTTCACTTGAAATCAAGAAGCTGGTTGCATAAGAGTCCCTTCTGTCCTTAGTTTTCCAACCAGACAAAAAGTGTTCATTAAAGAAATCAAAAGTAATCCAAATTTGTACCATTTGGCTAATGGGAATTGCCAAGTACAGGTGTTGACCGAGGCAGCTAATAAAATTAGAAGAACCAAGGAGGTTGGTCAGGATTTTTAAAAACTAGTCAGAAACGGAAAAACAAAACGTACAAATACACACGGAGAAATTAACCACTGATTTCAATGTGGCACAATAAAAATAATCTCTTCCATTTGTATAGAACACTGATTTTCAACGCAACTTCTGCATATATTATCTGCCTCCCAGGCTACAGAGGGTGACACTCCCATTTTACAGTTACAGTAGTCAAGACAACAGGGCCCTGAATCTTGATTACTTCTGGGCTAAACATAGGAGCACCTTTAGCTGCTCTGGTTTATCCACAAAACACGGCTATTTACTCTACCAGCTTCACAGGATGGTTGTGAGGGAACATGTGAAACTGCTTTGAAAAAGTAGTAAATGCTAAACAAATGCAAAGTATCATCAATCAGAGGATGGCAGGCAAATAGATGGTAAAGTATGAGTATACAAAATAGGTATCCAAAAAAGTCAAAAGAATGGCAATAAAAGAAAAATCATTCCTAAGACAGACAATCTTACTCATTGGACCATTCTCTAAACTTTACGGTACATTAAAGTCCTTTTTCAAAATATAAATTTAAACCTTTTTAAATACATCATTCTCGGGGTTAGCGGACTATGGCCTGCGGGCTGTTTTTGTGAAGTTATACTGGAACACAGCCATGCTCATTAGTTTATATAGCCTACCATGGCTGCTTTGGTGCTACAATGATAGTTTCAACAGAGACTGGATGGCCCTCAAAGTCTGAAGTATTTACTATCTAGACCTTCACAGAAAGTCTGCAGACCCCTGCTTTATTTAATTGTGGACAACTATAATTAAGTTCTTCATTTGCCTGTCAATAATGGGTTATCCCTTATGCTTCATTCATGTTTGAAAAAGGAAAGAAATAAGGAATCCAAGGGAAGTACATTTAACCTTTTATTACTTTTAAAAAATCCAAATTCAGATAAATTAACACACTAGGTTAGAACCTCAATTGTATTTGATACATTATATACTGGACTTCTATTACTAAAAAGCCAGTTGGAATATGGCCTATATGAACCAAAGAGTGTATACAAAATGGAAGTGATCATTGGCAATAATTGTTTCCTTGGAACTCTGCACCGACTGTCCATGCTCTGTGGGGACTTACAAATTCAAGTTTGACACAGTTGAAAAGCCAACTGGAGCTGCTTTTCCAAGAATGTTCTGTTGTCCTTGAAATAGAATTCCATGTTATTTCTTCCTTGCCTTAAGCTCTTATATCTTTCAAATGACCCAAGTTGATGAACTGGAGTAAACACAAACTATGCTGCAGTTATCAATTAGCAAGCGCCTAGTTCACCAATACTTCAAAATAAACAGACTTCACAAGTTTATTTCCATTCCTAACAGTGGAATAGTAACTTAATTTTGTTCACTTTTGTCTTTGTAGATTTCTGTCTACAGCTCCAGTAAGAATGCCAAATCAGATGGCTTTTAGGAAATCCTCATAGGAGAGAACCAGAGTTGTTCCTCACACTGAATTTAAGTCTTACAAGATCTCTGCAGGTTCATATGTTAACTTTCTGATCTGGCCTACTTGTAAGTCTAGTTTATTTCTGTACACACTTCCAAATAATCTTCATAAATGTTCACTTCTCTGATTGAAATATAACACCTTGATTGATGAAACAGTTTCATAATTATAGAATTTTAGTGAAGATATAAAACATTAATGAATACTTGTGTTTTAATACATCACTACTCCTATTTATTACATGTTCCAGTAAACCAATAGAATGAAGCACTAAGACATGGTGAAATCTAAACTTAAAACCTAGATGGAACTGCCATATAGATTACAAATGGGTCTCCCTACCACAGAATTCATATACAAAAGCCCTTCGGTATGTAGCTTTTCCTGAACAAATACATTAATACACTTGTTTTTCACATTTGTAAAAATTCAAGGTTTTAATAACATTTCTTTGCAAGACATTTGGTATAAGGTGGTTAATAAACATTAGAAAACAAACACTATATCAAAATGGTTAAGATTTGTGAATAAACCCTAAATAAAGTGGCTTTTGGAAGAAATGGATTTTGCAGCAACCAACTTTATAAAGAGGTCCATCCACTCTCAATGGAAAACACCCAATCGTACCATTCACTAGGTTCGGATATTACCACAATATAATGAATTCTGAGAGTATGGGGTTTGATTTATGGGCAACCCCAGTACAATCTAGGAGCCCAACAGGATAAAAAATACTAAAGGAATGCTTCACCATCCCTCAGGCCAGTACATTTCCACCTTATCCTACTCTTGTATTAGGATATATGTATACAAATGTCAACTACTAATGTAGTTAAATTTCAGGAGAAGCATGCTTAAAGATACACGGGGAATGTCTAGCCTTAGTTTTTGATAGTATTATTCAAAGTGTCAGTTGAAAGAAATTAAGCAAATAATGTTAACAAACGAAAGACAGATGCACAGCATTAGTGGGGGTATGAAAATCTCACCCTTCAATTAACTTAAATAATGTTCTATTTTCTATTCTACAACTTAGCGCTAGGGAGCTAAACTATTTGTGAATTACATCTTCTGTAAGAACAAGACACACACACACACACACACACACACTTATTCAGCCCCTCTATGCAGCCAAAAACCAATACAAGCCCTTTTCTAAAAGACTTTAAAGGTGATTAATATTCATTGTAATGCTCTTAATGTATTTGGAAATTAGAAAATTATTTTTCACCACAGATTCCAAAGAACTTCAAATAAAGCTCAATTTAGTAGAAAGAATTGGTGTACCTGAAAGTATTTAACCCACACATTTTCAATAAACCCTACATCTTACCTGTAAGATTCATATCATGAGAAACAAATTTCATTTTATTAAGACAAAAGCTTACTGTCCAATTTATACTCCCATCAGACAGACTACGTACTGGTATGTTAAAAGTACTTTTGAATAAAAGTGGTGAGAAAGAAACTAAAAAAGTATTTTATATATAGTTAAAAGGTTACATAATATAAACAACTAAATATTAACTTTTAGTTTCTTTTTTAGAAGATCTTAAAGGCAAGTAAGAAGGAAGAGAAAATGGAAGTACCAATAAATTACATTTAATATATCATTTTGGCCTAAGAAGAGCAGATTTACCTACAGCTTCTAATCAAATATGTTGGATCGTATCAATCATACTTAAGAGGTAAGAAATCGTACTTTTCACCTTTTAAAGGACTTACATGTCACAATATAGGATGTGGAGTCCATCAATATATAGATACATATTTTGAAATGAAAACATCTTGTGTAACTATTAATCACATGATTTTCATATTAAGGTTTAAATACAGAGGTGTTTTGAGTCTTTCTAAAAATACCAATATACAGTATTGTTTTAGGTGGTCATTTGCATAGCAAACTATTAAACTAGAAACTCAGTGGTTCTAGGAAACTTCATATTATGAATAGTTCCAGAAAAATGTATTCAAATCACTTCTCTTACAAAACTGTAACTTTTATTTGCTGATCCAATAGTATGTTAACCACTTTTACCCCATCTCCACTTTACACGGTACACCAACCTGAACAGATTTTGTGCCACAATTTCATTCAAAGGGTTTGTCATTCACTTTATGATTGTGCTGGATAATCTAGATATAAGCAAGTCTGGAGATTTTAAAGTATGGGTCCCCTGTATGAGAGTAGCATAGTTTGTATTTTTTTAAATGGCATTAATTTTGCCTTTTGAACAGAAAGTTATTTTCAAATTGCAAACACATCTATTTCCACAAAACAATTTGGTCAGGAAATTTTATTTGAACATTCTAAAGCAATAATGCTTTAGATGTTACTTAAGTGTCCCAGACAGGATTAACAAAATTAAATGTCTCTAAGTTACAAATTTGGCTCCTGTAGGAGTCTCAGAAAATAAACCAAAGAAAACAACCCCCCTCCCAAAAGAAGTATGACACACACATTTTGAGGAAACCCCAATGTTTCATGCAATGGTAGGCAAGATGTAAAAGGCCACCCAAATCACACATTTCTACACCAATCATCATAAGAAAAAAGTACTCTGTAGTCGATTTGTACATCCAAATGCATTTGGGAATCTATACCTACGTTACATTATTTAATGTTATATACATTTATTACCCACCCCCCTTGTTTTTAACAATTTCTTATGTAAAACCTTCATTCAAACCCAAAAGATGTAAGACTAACTTGGGGGAAAAAATGATAATCGCTTTAGACATTCAGTTAAAATGTAGTTTATCTAAATCTCAAAATGTTTAATAAAAACAAGTATCTTCTCCATTTAACACTTTTGCTTTCTAACTGTACAGTAAATTGCATTGTAGAGAGTACACCTCTATCTTCAAACTGTATCTTCTTTGGATGGAATTAAGATGTAACTGTATAGTTTTAAGATAAATAAATGGGAAGTTGGTCCAACTAAGATGACAGCAGATATATTACATGCAGGATTTAATATTTTCTAATTCCCTCTTAAAAAAAAAAAAAAAAGGATGCAGTTGGATTGGGGGGAAAAAAAAAGTCAAAAAAGAACCCAGATTCAATATATAAAAATGTCCCACAATAGGTCGACAATGGCAGTAAAAATAAGAGGAAAAAAGTAATCTTTCTGGAACATCATTTTTCAGTAACATAGAAACACTTAAGTGCCAGGAAGATTCCTATTCATGTAATTTTAGCATCCAAGTTTCCCTCTATTTATTTTATTGGAACAAATGCTTTAAATAAACTATTTGTCCTCTTCACTGAAGAGAGCTGGTCTATTTCATCTTTAATGAGCTAGTTTTTGGGAAGATTAGCCATGTACTGTAGTAATGCCTACTGCGTAAAATCCAAGCATTTGCTGTGAACAGTTGGAGAAAGCAGTCAGTAAGAACCTAGGATCAATGGAAATAGATGTTACTTTAAGCCATCGACAAAAGAGAGACCCACAAAGTACCCGGTGTGTTAAAGCCCAAATCTCTTCTTGCGTTTGTTTTTGCTGTGCGAGTTCCACCCCTATGAAAAAGAAATTGATCTGAAGTTCCAGGTTTTCTTGGGTCTCTAGTCAATTTTCACATTAGTATAGATTTTTCGGACAAAGGCACTTGTTCCCATGTAACCAATCGCTCCTGCAAAGATAAAATAAGATGTTTTGAAACAAATACATACAGAGCAGTATCCATCATTTAAAAACACTAAATACTCTATGCTCTGGAAAGTTACTCTTTTTTAAAGGTAGTATCTTTATTTTAGTATTCTCTCTGAACTTACTAAAACTGTATCATTTGATTTGCAAATCACCTGATACCATAATACACCGAGTCTGACCATCATACACCACATGTAATCAAGCAGCAATTATTTCTTGTATAATCAGTAACTACGGAATTAAAATACATCCCTTATAAAGCAAGAATAATTTCATAATGGCAAAAGGTTGTTAAATGAAAAAACATGCCTTCTTTGATTTGAAGATATATTATTCTAGTTCATTAAAGCAAAAATCAATGTATCTTCCCAAAATCCAATAGATAAAGTAAGAAGGGACAGGGGATTCTCTTAAGGAAGGACAGGGAACCATGTCCCAATAGCAGCTGAAGCTCTAGAGAAGAGGCATTTTCTGACAGCTTCTTTTTTATGTTTAAGTTGTAGCTGTGTAGTTGGTAGAAGGGATGATGTATTTGCGGGAATTGACAGGAGAGAGATGCAAGTGGGTCAGAAGTTTTGAAATGTTGTTTTTTAATAATTAGCCTCAACTAGAGCTTAAAACACCAGAAATCAGGGATATTTGTTTGTTTTGTTAAATATTTACCTCCTGTGTTTAAAATAATGCCTGGCATATAAGATACTTGGTAAATATTTGTTGAATGAATGAATGAATGAATGAATGAACTGGATGGTTCTTTATTGCAAATATAGGTTGGTGCACAAGTATTTGCAGCTTTACAATTACTTTTGCAGCAACCTACTAACGGCTCTTTAGAACAATGCATTTGGTTATTGAACTGTCAGAGAAAAAATCTACATTGGTCTTAGGAATATATGAGGTAGCCCAATATTACTGAAAGCTCAAAAGAAAACCTTCCATTAATTAACAATGGCAAGTGCACAACAAATGCCTAATTAGTCACCCTTGAACTAACTTTTATTCACCAAACTGGTGAATGAAAGGCAAGAAACAAGCATCTTTCCTGTTTCTCCTATATATGAACTATACCCCAAGGCTACCAACTGGTTGATGAAAGGAAGGTTATCCTTATGTAAGTATTCCAGCTAACAAATATAAAAGAAACAATAGAATTAGACTAGTGTAACCACTAATGAATTATTTGAGCTAGGCAATAACTATCAATGGCTGCTAACTTCACATAGAAATAGAACCAGAAATTATGTGCTCCCCTGATAAAAGCTTACAAACCACCTGTTAAACATTCTTGGACAAGTATTCTTGAGTATGATCAAGCCTACAGATCTAACTACCACTTGGAGAAACTTTAAATGACACTTCAACAATATAATCAGCAAAATCCAGAGTGTGGAAAACTCCACAGAAATTTTTTAAGTTTTAAAAATAAATCGCAAGTGAGAGAGAGAAGATCTATAGATTAAAAGAGCCTTAAGAGACATTTTAGCCAAGCAATTCATGAACCTTAATTGATCTCAATGTAAATAAACTATATTTAAAAAGAAGTCATTACAAGTGTGGTAAATTTGAACACTAACTGAATTATTCCATCATATCAAGAAATTATATTTATCTTTCAGGGAGGGACATATACTAAAATATTTACAGTTGAAATGACATAAGGTCTAAGATTCATGTCAGAATAAAAGGGGGGATACAAATTGGGGATATAAATAAAACAAGATAGGCCATGAGTTGATAATTACTGACACTGACATGGGGACTCACTATATATAGTATTGTCCCTATTTTTGTATATATTTGAAAGTTTCCCTTTATTAAATATTAAAATACAAAAAAACACAAAATGACAAAGCAACACTATTCGCATTTATTTTTGCAATGACTAGTCATTTCTTTTATAATAGGAAATAACGATATTACATTTTAAAATATTGATAATACATTTTAAAATAGTTACAATACAATTCTCTACAGGGTAAGAGAAAAATCACTCAATTTTGTGAAAATATACCTGAATCCTTACGGCATGAAAAGATGTAAAAAATTTTAATTAGCATTGAAAATTTTAATGGTATAATACTAGAGCCAAACCAAATCCAATTTTCCAGATGTACAAAACATTGTTCCCTTTGAGCAGAAATATGCTTAAAATCAAAACAGTATCAACCTAGAGAATCATTTTTCCTAATCTTTTTTTTTTTTTTTTTTTTTTTGGAGACATAGTCTCGCTCTGTCGCCCAGGCTGAAGTGCAGTGGCACGATCTCGGCTCAATGCAAGCTCCACCTCCCATGTTCACGCCATTCTCCTGCCTCAGGCTCCCAAGTAGCTGGGACTACAGGCACCCACAACCACACCTAGCTAATCTTTTATATTTTTTAGTAGAGATGGGGTTTCACCGTGTTAGCCAGGATGGTCTTCATCTCCTGCCCTCATGATCTTCCTGCCTCGGCCTCCTCAAAGTGCTGGGATTACAGGCGTGAGTCACTGTGCCCGGCCGCATTTTTCCTAATCTTATGAATACCTCAAGAATAAACTTACAAGGGCATGACTTCATAAAAAGAGAATACTGAATATGCCCTCTAGAAAAGTAAATATTTTAGGAATAATAGAAGTGCACTATTAAACTTAATTCCTCAAAACAAAAATGCTAGGCTCATAATATCCCACCTTAACGTAGTCATTTTTTCCTACATTTAAAAAAATCAACAAATATTTTTGTTCTAATTACTGACTTAAGCATTTTAGCAACATAAATTGATGGATATAATTTTTGTATTATGATGACATTCTAATCACTTCCAGTCTAAACAGCTTCTCCCTACCTGCCCCTGAAAACTGAAGCACTGAAAGCATATAAACCCATTAAAGAATAAATACTGGGACATTGCCAGAACAGCAGGGAACTGTAAATGTGCCAAGATTTTCAGGCAGCAAGATGAAATTTCAGCAGGAAAAGCACTCAAAAAATTTAGCTACATTTTCTTTGTAAATGTCAAGACATTGCCTCTCTGGGTCTTCCTAAGATCACTTATAGAAAAAGTCAAGAAAATTTTTTTTAACTCTCTGCCTAATCGATTCTATACCTCACTGAATGTTGGTGATAATCAGGAAAAATCAGATAAAATAAAGAGGAGTCCAGTGAACAATACTCTGAAGAAAGGATGGCCAATAATACTATAGAAACCTTCTGACTGCCCAAGAATAGGGATGTTTCCACATGACACAATCTAGTTTTAACCTTCAGTCCCTCTCATCTTTCCCTCAAAGTTGGTTACTAATTGTCACAGGGAATGGCTATCACAGTAGCTATAAATAAAACGTGACTATAACATAGAGAATGATCTTTCCTTGTGGAATGTTTCAATACTTTACAGACAATCTCATTTGTGTGTGCGCACACACGTGATCACATACATAGTGTATATGAATTGAACAGGCTCTTTTGATGGAGAAACAAAGCAATCTTGGTACCCCAAATGTGTCCATAAATGTCACACCAAGACCTAGCTTTTAATAAGATTATCATATCTTATATATATATATCTTATATAGCCAAAGATGGAATTATCAAATACACACATATATACATAAACAGCCAATGGCAAATAACAGAAAAAGGAGGAAAAGTATCCACTCTCTGGAAATGTTACCACCGTGATAAGTCCCTCAGACTTACATCATTCCTACAAAGTAACTAAGGGACCAGTCTCATTTATCAAGTAAAACACATCATTTCTACGAAGTAATTAAGGGACCAGTCTCATTTATCAAGTAACACTGAACCCGAAAAAAAGTGAGTTACTTGTATGAGTTTCTGTTAAGGTACCTCTGCCTGGACTTGGTGTCATAAAGTTGTTCTGAGTTGAAAACACAAGGTGTGGAATCCCACAGAGACTGTGCAGAAACACAGACACAATTCCAGAGCAGAAGGAAGCACAAGGACTTCTAGGCTTCATCAATAGCAGCAGCAAGTACCCCTCACTGAGCATCTACCAGTCACCTGATGTTTATCCACATTTAATCACTGAATTCTCTTTACAGCCCTATGAGGTAAGTATTATTTCTATTTTGCAAATGAGTAAAGTTGAGGAAGAAAGGTTAAATAATTTGGCCAGAGTAACAGGGCTATTAAGTGGGGAATTCACACCCAGAACAGACTGACCCCAAAAGGCCAGATCTTTCCATACCTCACCATGTAAATGGCTATCCTTACTACCTAATAACAGTCCCAGCACTACACTTGGTGCTTTACACACATGACACTATTCCTCACAACTACTCTGAAAGATATGCCCATTTTACAGATAAAAATGAGACCTAGAAAGGTTAATGTGACCTCCATGGCCACAAAAAAAGCTGGGCAACAGCATGGACATTTATTTCAGTGTTTTCAGGCTCTCATACTTACGCCTTTCCCATTTATCATACTGTTTCCAAAAGTTCTTTATTTTCTTGCTATTTCACACATTCTAGAGACTCTATCATATGGTGAAAACTATTACCTCTTCCTTTTAATAGATGATTATGATAGATCCATAAATAGTGGTTTTATCCCCACTTTACAAAAACTTAGAGAGCTTTGGGAACTAGATCAAGGTGGAAAGCATACATATGGTACAGCCAGAACTTAAGTCTAGTCTGTAGATACCCAAGTATGCAATCATAACAAGTAAACTGTGCTGTCTCATAGGTATCTCCTGGTTTCTCCAAGAATAGTCTGAGAAGTTTCCAAACAGGAATCATTCAGGCAACACCTTAACATGCCTACATCATGATCTTCCATTGAACTTAGGCTTTAAAAAATGCCAATTCTCAAACCAGGCACAGTGGCAGGTGCCTGTAGTCCCAGCTAGTTCAGAAGCTGAGTCTCTAAAAAAAATAAATAAAATGAAAAAGCCAATTCTCAAAATGAATGAAAAACTAACTGTGGTATGAAATTCTGAGCTATATAGAATTACTAGAATTTCTATAAAAATAGAAATTAATAAGGTAATAAATTATGTTGTGGGGAAGAGTCAAAAGAACTGAAATCAGACTCAGGTTTATTTTGGTGTTTCTGATCAAACAACAGAATTTCTTAATTTCCATTTACTGTATTTTTCTGATTCAGAGAAACTCAGATTTACTCATGATGTTCAAAGAATTTCAGAACTTACCACACATTATCCCCAAGGCTGTGCTAAATACCGCCATATATCCAAAGTAAAATGATGTCTGAAATAAGCCATACATCCTGAAATAAAACAAAATATATATAGGATATCCATTTTTACTTTTAACATAAGGCCTTAAATATTAGTATTTAAAGGACAAATTTAGTTTCCTAAGTAAAAAGTGAAAAAATGTCTCCACTTACTTTGTTTTGAAAAAATAGTAGTAAAAGGAATACATGTAAACATAGATTGCAGTTGATGCAGCAGAGAGAAAACTTGTCCATTGCCTGGTGTGGGGAGGGGGAGAGAAGATAACTCTTTTGAATCAATGGCACTAAAACAAAGATTTTAAAGCAAATAATTTAATAAAACATCCTTTAAAGTCCTTTAAAACGTATTTAAAAAACAAATGCATAGACATGGTATTTAAATTTATTAACAAGGAGAACATCTAAGAATTAGAAAGTTTGATCTTGAATTTTGTCCGATTCCCTATTACCAGTGACCATAAATACACCATTTCCTTTTCCAGATCTAAGTCTCCTTGTGTTTAGAATGGAGCAATGCTTCTCATAAAACTCTTTTCATATCAAACACTTTGTAAAACACATGTCTAACATAGAACTCCATTAATACATTAAAAATTTGATATTTTTTCTCTAAAATATGTATCATTTTTATAACTGGAAAAAAAATCCCTATGTTATTTTAAGTAACAAAATTTCTATACAGCTCTTACTCCACTTGATAGATTTCAAAGGAAATCTTATTTTAAAATATTATGGTTCCCCAAATTTCTTTCCACAAATAGGTACTTACCACCTGTAATCTTCTGCATTTAGTAGAAAATATGTGCACACAATAGTCACACAGACAGTCACAATGCACAGGATAACCAGCACCAGCATCATGAAGCCATAGACATAATAGATCTTATATGCCCAGAAAGATGTGAAGATGAAATACCTAAGTAATGCAATAAAGACACAGGTTTCCAGTCTTTATTCTTAAAGCTCACTCTGCTCTTTCTAGAAGTCTCACATTTCAGTTCTCATTTTTTTCTCACTTAATGATTTTCTTTCAAGTATCTTCCAACAGTTTCTCTTACCATGTCTTCATCAATTAAATCCACTAGAATTCTCTCAAAAAATTTCTTGGATAATCTTTGAAAAACAGATTATTCAGTAGGGCATTCACCTCTACACAAACTGAATAAAACAGAAGCTTAGAGAAGTATAATGTAGAAAAGAACAAATGAAAATAGCTAAAAAATCCGTATTTGTATCCATATTGTTTTGTAGATACAACACAATTCAAGCAATGTAGTTTGTATTTTATTAAATAGAAAATATAATACTCTATTAAATAGAAAAATAAGTTAGAGCAATAATGTGTAAAATTAGGAAAAGCAAGCCTAAAGAAGATTCACACTGTCTTCAGAGGACAGCAAGTGAAACGGCTTTAAGATTTTTAATTAAGAAAAAGATCTTTAACTCTAATCCATTACCAAGTCATCATTAAATTACAATACAGCCTTTCAGCCTCTTTTCTTTTTCTTGTTGCCCAGGCTGAAGTGCAGTGGTGCAATCTCAGCTCACTGCAACCTCCACCTCCCACGTTCAAGCGATTCTCCTGCCTCAGCCTCCTGAGTAGCTGGGATTATAGGCACACACCAATACGCCCAGCTAATTTTTTGTATTTTTAGTAGAGACGGAGTTTCATCATGTTGGCCGGGCTGGTCTCGAACTCCTGACCTCAGGTGATCCATCCGCCTCAGCCTCCCCATCATTCATTCTTTCAACAAATATTTACAGAGCCCCTACCATGTATCACGAAAGCAGTGAGAAAAGCAGTAGACAACAAAGTCTCTCTACCTTCAAGAAGACTACTAGCTAGTTGGGAAACACCAGTAAAGACTATGATACACTGTGATATGTGCTACATGAATGCACATAAGGGGTTATCTTCCCATTGTGGCTGAATGGGGCTTTATAGGGGGAAAAGAATCAGATAAGGAATGCGGAGGGTAAGGAGAGCTAGAAGAATGTTCCAGGTATGCCAGGCATGGTGACTCACACCTATAATCCTAGCACTTTGGGAGGCTGAGGCAGATGGATCACCTGAGGTTGGGAGTTTGAGACCAGCTTGATCAACATGGTAAAATCCTGTCTCTACTAAAAATACAAAATTAGCTGGGCATGGTGGCACACGCCTCCCCAACTACTCGGGAGGCTAAGGCAATGTAATCGCTTGAACCCGGGAGGTGGAGGTTGCAGTGAGCCGAGGTAGTGCCACTGCACTCCAGCCTGGGCAACAAACGAAACTGTTTCAAAAAAAAAAAAAAAAAAAGAATGTTCCAGACACAGGAGCAGCAAAAGCAAAAGTGAGTAAATAAAGGGGATCCACTGCATTTTGAAAAACTAAAAGTAATTCAGTATGGCTAAAACTTTAAATGAAGGGGAAAGAACTAAGAAATGAAGTTGGAGAAGTGAACAGGACCAGTTCTTAGGTTATTAAGACCCTTAATAGCCATGTTATGGAGTTGGGACCTCACCTCAATTAAAATAAGAAGTGTTAAGTAAAGAAATGACATGACACCTTAAAAAGACCACTTTGGCTACCAGGAGGAGAATGGGTTTGAGGGTGGACAAAACAGAAGTTGAAGAAACAGCAGAGAAACTATCTAGTGGAACACAGTGCCCGGAGAAACACAAAGACATGTGGTTCAGAAATACTGGGGACAGGGGTAGAAAGGAAAAAGTAGTCACAGGTCAAGTATGGGTGAAGGCACTAAACTAAAGAAGAAGTTCCTGAACCGACTATAATAAACCACGAGTTACAGAGACACACACTCCAACTCCTAAGGTACTAATGCCCACAGCATATGCAGAACTCGTAAGTGACAACGAAGAGTTGTTCCATATCTACTTATGTCAGTTGTACCTGTTAGTACAATTAGACTAAATTGAATAAATTAAATGTTACATAAACCAATAAACATCAGAGTAAAAAGGATGCGTGGTTACTATAAAAATTATGTTGAATGCTTTGGAAAGATTTGATAAGGTGAGTCCCTTTAAAAAAGTTATAAAATTCGATGTGATTGAGACGGCTATAGACTGGGGGACAAATGTACAAATCTAGAAGGATTCTGCACTTAGAATGCTTCAGATAGGACCTTATGTTCTTGCTTCACTTTAAAAAGGATGGAAAACACAGAATCTGTATTACGAATGTCAAAGAAAAAAAAATGAAAAAATTCCAATGAAGAAAAAGACTGTGACTCTATATTTAAAAAAAAAAAAAAAATCAGTGAAGGATGTACATTTACTTGTCTTAAAATATTATGTATGTATCTTTTTAAATAATACTCTTACATGAGTCATTGTTTTCAATTAACCAACTACCAAATCCAATTACGTCTGTTAAGAAAACTCCTACCATACAGGAGACAATCCGCAGTGGGGCATCTGGAAACACGTAAGGCTATTTTAAGTTGTCACAATAACTGGTATTTAGTGGACAGGAGCCAAGGGTGTATAGCTGCAATACCTGAGAAAGCCCCATACGGTGAACTGTCTTGCCTAAAATAACCAGAGCATTCCCATCAGGGGGCACTGGGACACAGACTAAGAACAGAAAGGCTTTTTTATTTTGCAATGATGACAAAGGATGCAGATGTAAAGCACAGTAAGTGGCATAAGGTGGCATACCTCTCACCTCCAAATACATACACACTTCCTAGCACTCCTGCAGGCCTCTATGGAAGGAACCTAGGAAATGACTATGCATCAAAAGATGTCAGGACCTAGACGGACTAGTAGGTAATGGTTTACCTAGTTCCCTAGATCCTCAGAAATATTTTAAAAATACAATAAAAACCAGGAATTCCTTAAATCATGCCTATGATCGAAGGCTGGTCTACCATTCTTTAACACATAGCTTTGATTTCTTTTTTTTTTTTTTGAGACGGAGTCTCGCTCTGTCACCCAGGCTGGAGGCAGTGGCGCGATCTTGGCTCACTGCAAGCTCCGCCTCCTGGGTTCACGCCATTCTCCTGCCTCAGCCTCCCGAGTAGCTGGGACTACAGGCACCCGCCACCACACCCGGCTAATTATTTTTTGCATTTTTTTTTTTTTAGTAGAGACGGGGTTTCACTGTGTTAGCCAAGATGGTCTCGATCTCCTGACCTCGTGATCTGCCCACCTCCGCCTCCCAAAGTGCTGGGATTACAGGTGTGAGCCACTGCGCCCGGCAACACATAGCTTTGATTTCTAAGATTTCCTCTTAGGTGAGGGAGGTCTAGAATACAATACAAAAAGGTATAAACATCACCTGAATATTTAAGAACACAGTCAACAGCTACCTTTATATAGCCTATTAGACCCCTTTCTGGAATCATGGAATTAACAGACTGTTAGATGTTCTCCCAACTGATGACTTTCCATGTTCCCTAACTCCTAAATTGTCTTACTATAATCAAATCCCTCAAAATATAAATACATTATCAAAACTTACATTTCAATAAAGATTGAACCAAAAGGTAAAATTCCACCCAGGCAAACAATAACTGCAGGCTCCATGAACCTGGAAAATATTAAAATTAATAGTAAACTTCTAGTATGATTTCCATATTACATAAACACTGATAACAGAAAGCAGGTACTTGACACTTAAAATCATCTCTGAAGGATAGAAACAAACCAGTAAAATGAAAAGCCAAAACCAAAAGAGGCACAATATATAGGTGGGACTTCAATTTAGCCACAGGTTATAATCAATATTCTTTCTGCATTAAAGGCTGAGACAAGTATATGGAGAACAAAAATTACTGACACTGGCAAAACTTGCAAAAGTCTCTAAGTGTTCCCTCTGGTTCTACTAGACTTCCATAACTTCTCAGAACCCTATAGGCATTTATTCACAAAAAGCCAAAGGGAAAGAAAGTGAGAGTCGAGAGACCTCCATTTGAAATAATGTTTCCCAAATTGTGGCCTTGTCATCTCTTTGCTCACTCTCTCCTTGGTTCTATAATTCCTTTTCCTAAAAATTATGCAATTAAGGTATTATGAGTTCTTATTTATAATGGCACCAAAGAAATAAAAAATAAAATTTGAAATTCATTCATTCATTCAACAAACATTTACTGACTGTAATGGGTAATTCCCCACCTGGATGCCTTCTTCGTCTCCTGTTGCTCTCCTGAAAGCATTGGCTCAAATGTTCTCCCTTTAAAACCTTTGCTGAGTCTCCCAGGAAGAGGTGGGTCCTTCTCTCATTCTTCCACTGCCTCTTGAACATATCTCCACCACACTACTTACCACACTATACTGTAACTGTCCAATTCCAAATACATATGTGTACATATATATAAAAAACCTCACTAGATTATAAACCATGGCAGGCAGAAGCTATTCATTCAGGTATTTCCAGTGCCTAGCACAATACCTGGCACAAAAAAGATTCTAAACTAATAACTATGAAATTAACAAACTAAAAAACTGAGAAAAAAATTTTAAAATTTGAGAGCTGAAAAAAAACTTAAAAATCATTTAATGTAGTCTTCTTTCATTACTTTACAGGAAGCCAAGACTCACTGAGGTTAAAAGTGATCTGCCCAAGGTGACACAGTCAATGAGAGGCAGATCTAGTATTCAGATTTAGGTTCCCATGATTATACTCCCCAAAACAGAGACACACACAAGCCTTCCTATACCTAAATGCAAAGCATCTTTGGTGAGGAAGCTCTCACCAGACCTCCTCTCCTTCACTAGCCCTAGTGACTTAGAGGAACTTTTGTGACTTCTGACTATGATTTCCCTTTAACCTTACCCTTCCTAGTAAGGATACTGATGGGTCCTAACAGTCTAATACTGATTTACGGAAAAAAAAAAAATTACTTTAAAAAATAAACTACAAAACTTCTAACCAAAGTCTCTCATAAGCACCAATCTAAGGAAAGAAAAGAATGTGGCCAATTCAAACTATAGGGGCTATTTTATTCATCCTCCATTTCTATAAATGTCTACATGCTTCCGGTCTAGAAAGGACAGAGCAAAATTATCACCTATTTGTATAAGCACCTGAATATGCTATATTTATAATCTGGTAAAATATCTAGGGACAGAGACTTAATATATATACATACATACAGTACTAAAATATCTGGAAAGATAATAAATATTTCAGGTTCTGCAGGTGATAGCATCTCTGACATAACTACTGATCTGCCAGCTCTGATGCTGTACTATAAAAGCAGCCACAGGTAATTCATAAACAAATCGGCACGGCTGAATTCCAACAAAACTTTATTGACAAAAATAGGCAGCAGACTAGATTTGGCCTGCAGGATTAGTAAAACTGCAGCTTTAGTTCACACCCACCTCTACACCGTAGGAAAGCATTTGACTTAACTGTAAATGGCACAATATTCAGAAAGTGGAATAAGGGTACAATTTATTATTACTCCTAACAATGTAGGTTAAAGGAAACAGTAAAATGAACTCCTTAGGCTCAAACTTAAGATTGTCATTCTCATAAATACATGCCAATTCTGAAGTTACATGTACACAACAGCCTTAAGAACTTATATATTGTGTGAAACAATCGCATAAGATTTAGCATTCTCTTTACCATTTTTTCTCCGGTATAGGACGAGGCACAGCATTGACACGACAAGGAAAGTTGGGCTGACCTGACAGATTTCGGCCAAGTATTGTACCAACAAGATTTAGAGGAAGAATAACAAAAAAACAGATGCAACAAACGGCCACCTGTAAATTAAATAAAAATGTGTGATTACTCAGAGAACAGTAACATTAATAAAAACAAAAGAGACACAATTTAAATACAATTTGATCACAAAAGAAAATGTTTAAGTTCAATATGGGCTAAAATTGTGCAAGAAGTACACTAATGAAAACAGAAAAAGGTATGCTTTAAAATATTAGAACTAAACTAAATACAAGTTGAACTAGTTCTTATCCAATTTAGTTTACCACTTTTTCCTATTCTCCCACACTATCTCTGCCATAGTCCTTTTTTCTCCTCCTTCACTCTCAGCTGTCATGGTTTTTTAAACATATTTATCCATTGTCTTTCATTATTATAACCAACTTACTTATCTGGCTACGCTTTTTGAGCTCGTAATATGCACTTAGAGCTTTATATGTGTTATTTCTTTATTTTACAGATGAAGGAAAGGGGACTCAGAGAAGGATAAGTAACTTCCCATAATCTCATAGCTAGTGGAGAGCCAGACCAAAATTTCAACTCAAATCTGCCAGCCTCGAAGCCCATGCTCTTTTCTATTCTACACTGCCTTGGAATCCTAATAGAAGTAGATCACTATCTACGTGTTATTAGTAAAATAGTACAAATATTTTTCTGCCTATTAGTAGTGCAAAATCTAAAATTATATAGAAGACCATACAAAGATTCTAGAACCAAAGTGGCGAATTAGAAACATTTATTTTTGTGACATTTTTCTTTATAAAATCAGCTCTTTTCTGGTGAACGATCTAATTAAGATCACTTCACTCTGACCTTCTGTAAAATGGAGTAGAACTGAATCACCTCTAAGATCTCTTTAAATTACATATTTTAGGTTATAATAAAAAGTAAAAGTGAGAGAAAAATTGAATGAAACATGTGAAGACACTGAGAGAAATGAAGAGGGTAGGAAATCCATAGTGATTGCACAAGAAGGAAAGATCTCTTTGAACCAATATTAGTAAAAATTCATTAGATCCTTTTGTGTGTGCATATGTGTTTTTAAACAAGCCAAAGAGTATTGTCATCTCCTTTTCAGATACAACATAAATGTGTCAGAGTTATAAAGCTCCATAATACCATTTTAAACATCAGACTCAGGAACCCAATTTATCTGTGTTTCAGTTTAGGCCTAAGCCTATGAATAATATGAATTTATGCTCATATTATATTATGTGAAATGTGAAAAATAAGCAGGTGTTTTTAAGATAGTTTAAGTCTTATGTTATGAATTATACATATGTCATAAATATGGGGAGTGATAAATTCCATCTCAATTTTTGCTTTTACTTTCTTAATAACTACAAGACTCATAAACCTTAACACACTGTAATCAAGACCTATGTATTTTTTCCTTAGTTTGCCAGAACTCTAATTTGAAATAAGAATTAAAGACAAAATTCTTTCTAGGAAGAAAACATTCCTAGACCATGTAGAATTATATGATCTAGAAGAATGGTTTTCAAGCTGTTCCAAAGAATTCTCAGGTCCTACTGAAGAGCTTCCGGGATTCCACAAGCATTTGATTTGAATATACTTTTGAAAATAGTTTCTTTTTAAAATACTTTTAATTGTAATAAGATACATACAGATCAAAGGAGTTTTATACCAAATAGCAGTACACTGGAGAGATCACAGCCAGGTTAACTCATTTTCACGCAAACCTCAGAATCAAGTTTCTCCTGCTTATCTCTGTGTATATACTGAACTGAATGGATTTTGTCACTGATTGGGAAGGCTTGTAATACTATATTGGTCTTTTATTCTATCTCCTTCGCCCCATCCCAATTAAGGCCTGCACATATTTGTTCACTAAAAATTGTATAAGCAAAAGTACTATTACAGCACAATGTGTGTGACACAATTGAGTGGCAGCTAAAGTGAGGGCACATCTTGCCTTCAGTGCACATAATAGTCAATAAAGGAACCTATAGTCTCAAAAAGACATTAGCAATTGCTTAGTATTTGTCAATATTTTCTCTTTCCTTGTCCAACTCTTTAATATATGATTAAAAATGTGAGCAGTTTGTTAGAAATAGTGATTAAGCTGTGAAACCAGTTCCCCACTCCTTTATGATCAAGTTCTGGATGAAGTTACTTGAAAAATACTCCAAGATTACAAGGCAAGCTGTTTAAAAAAAAAAAAAAATCACATGGAATGAACTCACTTGTGAAGAAAGAATTTTTCTCAATACTGATAACTAAATAAATTGGGTGCTGAAGATAAGTAATAGCTTACTTTATTCATACCCCTTGATATTAGATTTGTATCCGTCACAACTTTACTGCTCTTGTTAAACTTAGAGTGTTAAAAATACTTAATTTGCAAAATATACCTATAATAATAAAATCATGCTTGTATCTGTTTTCCATCTGGGCTTCCACATTATTTAGGAACACAATTTAGCAGCTAAGAGGGTCTAATATATTGGTGAAAACCCTGGAACTCAAATTAATATGGGGCTCTCCTCTATTCCCCTAGTCACTGTTCAGAGGAGAGTGAAAGCAGGCAGTGGGGAGAAGAAAGATTTACTCCATGCTGAGGGCCTCCCTTATCTACAACAAGAACAAGTTAGAAATAAGTACTGCCTCTTGGTACTTAATACCCCAAAGATCTACATACTGATCACATCTTCTCAATCTTAGACATAAACCAAGAATGTGGCTATTACTTATTCTATCTTTGCTTCCAGACTGGCCTACAGGTCAATATCTCTCATAAACTTAGATGTAAAAAACAAATTTTAGCAAATGTAATCTAACAATATATAAAACAAAGAATATATCATGACAAAGTGAAGTTCATCAAACGAATGCAAGACTGATTAAAGATTAGAAAATTAATGCTATTCACCATATTATCAGAATTAAAAAAGAAAAATCACAGATCATCTCAAAAGATGCAGAAAAATGCTGCTCTAAGATCCAACACTCATTCAAAATTAAAAAAAAAAAAAAAAACTTGCAGCAAACTGCAAATAGAAGAGAACTTACAAGCTGATGAAGGGCATCTACCAAAAAAAAAAAAGCTATTATTTTAATTCACAGCATAAGACTAAATGTCTTCCTCCCAAGATTGGGAACAAAGAAAGGACGTCTGTTGTTCTATTCAACATTATACTGGAGGTTTTAACCAGTGCAATCAGACAACAAAAAGAAATAACAGACATACAGACCAAAAAAGAGAAGTGAAACTGTCTTTGTTTAAATAATTTGATAATCTATTTTTTTAAATAACACTATGCACCCACAAAAATTTAAAATAATAAAAAAAAATTTTTAATCTATGTAAAAAACTAAAGAAGCTAGAATAAGTGAATTTAGCAGGGTTGTAGGATACAAAGCCAATATCTCAAAAACTGTTTTCCTACATATAGTCAACACTCAAAAATAGGGTATAAACTGTTCAAGTCCACTTATAAGTGGATTTTCTTCTGCCTCTGCCACCCCTGAGACAGCATCCTTGAGACACCCCTCCCTCTTCTTCCTCAGTCTACTCAATGTGAAGATGATGAAAATGAAGATCTTTATTATGATCCACGTCAACTTAAAGAATAGCAAATATATTTTTATCTTCCTTATGATTTTCTCTTTTTCTTTTTAAGAGACAGGGTCTCACTACGTTGTCCAGGCTGAAATGCAGAGAGGGCACAATCATAGAGCACTAGAGCCTCAACTCCTGGGCTTAAGTGATCCTTCTGCCTTAGCCTCCTGAATAGCTGGGATTACAGGCACAAACCACACACCCAGCTAACCTTATGATTTTCTTAATAATATTTTCTTTTCCCTAGCTTACTTTATTGTAAGAATGCAGTATATAATACATATACAAAATACATGTTCATCAGTGAGGCTTCTAGTCAACAGTAGGTTTATTCGTAGTTAAGGTTTTGGGGAGGGTCAAAAGTTACATGCAGATTTTCAGCTGTACGGGCAGGGGGTAAGGGTCAGCACCCCAACCCTCATATTGCCCAAAAGTCAACTGTACGCTCATGTGCAACATAACAATTTTTTTTGGTCAATGATGGACCACATATCTGACATTGGTCCCATAAGATTATAAGACTGTATTTTTACTGTACCTTTTCTACGTTTACAGACACAAACACTTACCACTGTGTTACAACTGCCTACAATATTCAGTACAATAATATGCTGTACAGGTCTGTAGCTTTGTAAGATTAGGCTATAACATACAGACTAGGTGTGTAGGAGGCTATACCATCTAGGTTTGTGTAAGTGCCCTCTGGAATGTTCACACAATGAAAAAATTGTGAACCAACTCACTTCCCAGAACATATCCCTGGCATTAAATGATGCATGATTGTACTAGCAATAAACAATCAGAATTTGAAATTTTAAAATGGCCGGGCGTGGTGGGTCATGCCTGTAATCCCAGCACTCTGGGAGGCCGAGGCAGGCGGATCACCTAAGGTCAGGAGTTTGAGGCTAGCCTGACCAACATGATGAAAGCCTGTCTCTACAAAAATACAAAAATTAGCCGGCTATGGTGATGCGCACCTGTAATCCTAGCTACTAGGGAGGCTGAGGTAGGAGAATCGCTTGAACCCGGGAGGTGGAGGTTGCAGTGAGCCAAGATTGTGCCAATGCACTTCAGCCTGGGCAACAGAGCAAGACTCCGTCTCAAAAAAAAAAAAAAAAAAAAAGACAGAAAGAAAAAAAAGAAATTTAAAAAATATCATTCACCAACAGAATAATATGAAATACTTGAGAATAAATTCAACAAAAGATGGACAAAACCTGAACACTAAAATCTATGAAACGTTGCTGAGAAAAATTAAATATATCTAAATAAGTTGAGAGATATCCTGTGCTCATTAATCAAAAGACTCAATAATGTTAAGATGTCAATTCTTCCCAAACTGTGCTACAGATTCAATGTAATCACAATCAAAACCCCAGAAGACTTTTTATAGAAACTGACAAGCTGATTCTAAACTTTATGTGGAAATGCAAAGAATATTAGAAAAGCCAAAACAAC